TTCCGATATAAACATACGTCAATACTTTTTTGTTATTAATTGATAACGTAATCATCTTACATATTCGAGTTTTTGATATCGTTAACATAATTATGAGCATATAATCTAATCAATATCATCTAACATTGACACAAGTAACACAATAGGGGCGCCGGTGGCGCCCCATCTTCTCGTAACATTTATAAATTAATACGCCACACATTGATTAAACTGCTATTCCATTTTAGTTATTATTCATCGCCAGTGCGATGCATCGCTACCCTGATCGACCAATCAGGGTGTAGGACCAGGTGAAAATCGAAGCGATTGTGATTTTTTACTAAAAATTTTGCCTATGAAACGGCTCTTCTAACAAAAAAAATTCCTTGCAAAATTTGGGTTAGAAGGGGGTCTTTAGCTATTATCCTAACCAAGCCCTAACCTAACTCTAACTAGTCGCTATTTGTTTTGTTTTGTATATCGCACTGGCGATGAATGATAATTGTCTAAAAAATTATTAATTTGAAAAAGAATTTTTTGTTTATTAAACTTTGATATTTTATGCTGTCCAGTATTGTACATAAATTGATTAATCACATGAATATTCAATATTATACTTGTTAATTTATGAGTTTTTGCTAATTAAAATTATATTGACACTAACATTTAGAAAATTAATTTAAATAAAATTTAAAATTTAGATAAAATATTTGATTAGAATTTAGATATCATCATAATCACTCATGCTAGGTGGCACGACTCTATCTTCTACATCAATTTTATTTTCATTTTTTCCAATAACACCCCAAACTTTACTTGGTTTTGGACCCATAACTAATTCCATAACTGCACCATTAGCGATATCTGAATGTCTAAACCATGTTTTTCTCCAATATTTACCGTTAATCTTTACGCTTTGAACATATGGATTTATGTGATCTTCATTTTTTAAGTTATGAGCTTTAATTATGAATTTTATTTTTGGCGAGAGGGTTATCGTTGTTTTTTCAAAATGTGGTGAATTTATTAAATATATATCCGTGCCGGCCCTAAATACAATCAAAAAAATTATTAAAATAAACAGAAAAATTCGTGTTTAAAGTAGCATATTAATATCGCAATAAACTTACAATGGATATAACCCGATTGCATTAAAAACAAACCAACTTCCCATCGCCCCTGAATCATCATTACCTATTCGATAAGAACAAATAAACATATAAATATTTTAGCTTCATATTTATTTTTATAGTGTATCAAACAAAAACAATTCTACCACGTGATGATCAACCAATAAAAAATTAGTCCTTCGGACTTTTAATTAATCTAGTACTAATTTATAACATACCTGGAATTCCATCCGGCCCACTTCCAAATTTAGTTTTCAAAATATCTCTTATAACCTCAACACTTTTATATTGCTTTCCAATAAAATGATATAAGCATATGTGAAAGAAATCAGGTTCATTTCCTATATTATAATAACCACTTTGATAAGTTTTATCAGCAAATGTTTTATCGATACGTTTTTCAAATTTTTTTGGACCACCGGATAATTTAATTAATTGTTTTACATCTATATTTTTAAATTAATAGTAAAATAATTAATGATAACTTGATAGAATATCGCGAATGAGCATAAAAACATAATGCTTATTTTGCAAAAGCACATACCAAACGGTATATCCAAACTATATTCCCATGATGAAGCTTCATAGAATACGTATTCACCGCCTTGTTCTCTTAAAACGTCTATGTCAGTATAAAAGTTACCGTCCTCATATCTTGGTACGATAAATCCTTTTGCACCTTTTTTATTATAAATAATATTAATATATAATTTAATATGTGCCCAACATATGAGATATAATGAATAAAAATGTTTTTTAATTACCATCAAAAGTTTTATTAGGATACCATAGATTCTCCCAACTTCTTGCTCTCTTTCTGTATTTAATATAATC